TGTATATGTATATATATATGTATATGTATATATATATGTATATGTATATATATATGTATATGTATATGTATATATATATGTATATGTATATATATATGTATATGTATATATATATGTATATGTATATATATATATATGTGTATATATATATGTATATATATATATATGTGTGTGTGTATGCAAAGATAGTATATCATTATATAAATATAAAAATAATTACTTGAACTTTGTAAGTGTCTGTTCAGTTATGATTGATCTGGCGCAGGTATTCCTTAATTGAAGTTATATATGTTGCATTGACTAAACAAGAAACTCACCTCCATCAAAGTGTTTTTCGAAATGTAGTTCATGCTTTTATTTTCGATATCTGTTTTCATCGAATCTTCTAATTCTTGATACTTTGTAGTGCGATTGACAGCACACTTTATGTTGAAATCCTCCAAAGTTTTCTTTTTCTTTTCTTTACAAATGTCATTGATGTTTTCTTGATAGATTTTACACAACTGTCAATAAACGCAACAAAAATATAATCATACTTTCCAACATTGTAGAAACATAATAGTAGAAAATGTTCTGTTGATTATCATGATTATTATTATGATGGTTATATGATTATCGTTATTATCTTTGTTATTATTAGTATTTTTTAAATTTCTATTATTATTATTATTATTATTATTATTATTATTATTATTATTATTATTATTATTATTATTATTATTATTATTGTTGTTGTTGTTGTGATGAAAAATTAACACAAACAGTATGGTGGCTAAACGAATATTACATGTAAATATATTTTTTTTATTTGTTTGTTCCCCGACAAAACTTATCGTCTTCCCCGACGGGGGGGGGGGCTATGCTTCCCCGACTGGGGGCTATAGCTCCCCCAGCCCCCTCTGGCGCCACCACTGCCGTAAATGTCCCTATCTTTCCTTCTGACATGGCATTGATCAGGAAATATTGAATAAGTTGGTATGCAGTCGTCTAGTTTAGACTCGCATCCAAAGACAACATCTGGTTTATAATTTTCTATGCTAGCATAAAAAGAGGTCTTTTTCTTTGGCCAATGAAGACCGTCACAATTTATGACGATAGCATTTAGTCTTGGAACCTTCACGTTTTTACTGAAATTTTTATTTAGTTCTGCCCTTTTCCCTTTTTCGGGTGTTGATGTTTGAGCAGGTTTGAAAGTCAGATGGTCATCTTGATTGAAGAAACCACTACCGGCGTTTTCGTCCAGTAAATCAAATGAGTTTGTTGTGCTCATTAGGGCACTGTCAAAAATACCAATTGATACATTTGGAAATCCACAATTTAAGCATATTCAAGAAAGGCTTGAATTTTTACCATGGATATCATATAAGAGATTGGTCATATTTGTATACCCAGTAAAGTACCATATTGCACACTTTTCACAGAAAATTCCCTTGTGTTCATCTTTGACTTCCCTTTTTCAGATTTCGCATGGATACAGGATAGGGTTTGTCCCAGACATATAAATAAAAAAAGTTTTCCTTGATTGTGACCTTGACCTTTGACTCTGCCCCTTAAAAATTTTCTAGATTTTTGTAAAGGAACATTGTGACCAAGTTTAATGAATTTCTAATAAAAACTAAGGGCTGTAGGTTGTTCGCAGCAAGTATTCCGACAGACAAATAAGTAACTAAATAAATAAACAGGCAAAAATATAACATCGGATCGGAGGTCTAACATTTCATATAACCTGTCTCTTATACACATCTAGATGTGTATAAGAGACAGATGTATATGTATAAAATAATAATACACCTGTCTCTTATACACATCTAGATGTGTATAAGAGACAGTATATATACTGTGTGTAAAAACACATATACTGTAAAAACAATGGCTGGATCTACGTTGAAATGAAATTGATAAACAGCCACAAATAGAACCACAAATTTCGGGAAACCATAGTCCCACATTAATGGATGCAAGATAATCGTATTTTGTGATAATTACCTCATTCATTTGTTTTTCAAATTCCATCATCACTTCGTGGTAAGATTTCCTACCATGTGCTATTGCATTCGCCTACAAGAATTTAATATATCTATGTTAATCACGGCCAGATCAAGAATAGTGTGCTGCGGGGGGCACAACATTTTCAGAGTAGATAAGTTAGTAGCACATAAAATTAGTATACATTGACATTTTTAAATGTAGTATCAAAACGGGGGTGGGGGTGCGCCTTATAGAATTAGCGCCTGTTAAAAGCCATGGTTTCACAAAAAATGGTTATGATGCTGCATTTGTCAGATCAAACGCAGTTCATACAAGAAATTCTTGACGATTATTTTCAAATCATAACCACAAGACGATGGATGCTATTTCAGCAATAAATCAATTGTATACACTTACAGACATTTATGCCGTAACAGACCATCAACCTCCAAACTAATTCATTTTTGTAGTAACCCAAAAAGTGTTTCTGTGAGAATTTGTTCTCCAATATATAAAATAATCCATCCATTCCATCTCAAAAAAAAAACATTGCATGTTAAACATACCCCCTTTCAATTTTGATAATTTTATATTTTCAATATGCTCAGACTGAATTTGTATACATCATCTTTTACAAGTCAGTTTGTTCAATAAAATGTAAAATATTTTTGTTGATGCAGATCCAAATGATTCAAGAAAGTAATTTTGAAGACAATTTTAAAGTAAATATGAGATGAGAATGAAATACAAATTAGGCCTAATTGTGTCTGTATTACTTTAGTTTGTGTGCTTAGCTTGGTATTTATTGTTTTTATTTTCCGCCTTTTTCTTTGTTTTCTAGACTTCAATATTGTCGAGCGCATAGAGACCTCGTTTACTTGCGCTATATAAATCCATATATTATCATTATTATATCATTATCATATAATATAATATCAGGACCTAACAGGACTTGCATAGAAAGTCCCTAAATTTTTTAGAAAAATCATATTGTTTGATTGGTAATAAAATGAATTCCAAATGTTCTCACCTCAGGTATGCCTTCAACTTCAAACAGCTCTCCATCAGTGATAACCTCCATGTACCTCTGAAATGCATAAAAACACAATCTTACTGATTTCATATAAAATGTACGTCTTTGTACCAACAATTAAGCGTACACATGTTACCCAGATATTACCTTAAAATAATTGAATAGGTTTTCACATGTCACGTCTTTTCCATCAATTCTTTTGAGCTCAGGCACATCTGATAAAAACAGAAGCTGTACCAATTCCATCACCGTCTGTTTAAACCTCTCAGGAATGTCTGATGATTAAAAAAATATCAAATTTAAGATCGTAAGTGCAATTACGCCATAATGATGATAGTAATAATTATCATTGTTATCGATATTGTTATTGTTATCACCATCATAATTATCCCTATTATTATCATAATTATCATAATTATTTAGTGTGTAACACACATTTTTCCACAAAATTGTAAAAAAACTAAACATGGTTTGTTTTTTAATGACTATTTTCCTTTTTTATTTGCCACCAAAAGAACCTACATAGGAAATGTCTTGAGACTCTTGTAGGTTATCCTCGGTTCGTTTCATAAATAAGGTAACCAACCTGAACCAAGAAAAGACAGAAAAAACCTAGAATAAAGTTCATTTGTTTATTGAAATTACTACAAGCAAGGCGTTAGAGATACCTTTTTACATCATTACTTACCTTTAAATTGACCCTTGCTCACACCCTCGCAAACATCATTCCCTGGGTGAGGCATGAGAAAACACATTATTTTATCAAACACCTCATAAATAGATTTTCTTAACTGTATATTTTCTTCACTTTGCATTGGAGATGTTTCCTATAAAACAATCAATCAATCAATCAAGCAATCATGAAATCAATGAGTCATTCAATCAATCAATCGATAAATAAATACATGAATTGGTCAACAAACCAATGAATCAAGCAAATCATCATAATGGATGAATCATCAAGATGAATCATTAGATACAAGACAAACAATCAGAGTTTGAGTAAGTCTAATGTTAAATGAAATTTAATATGGAATAATAATTATTATTATTAATTTATATTTTCTTTTGAAAAATACATCAATATAATCAACTTCTCCAAAAATATTAAAATTAATGTTTAAAATCAATTGCCTTATTAAAATCTGAACATATTACTACTTTTGAATGATGATTACGTCTTCTAGATTTCATGATTAATACCTGCTTTTGCTACATTAGGTCACTGTGTCAAATAATAATACACTATCCTTATCGGTACGGTACCACACCTCTCATTGTGTATAATCTTTCAATACCATAATAAAAAATTTGTGATAGTCAATAGACTGGTAGTTCCTAACCTGAGATTAAAATCCCATAGTTAACAATTGCAACTAACCATGCATTTCTTAAGGCGTTTCATGCCGCCAACATTGCCAAATAAATATTCACGTGGACTTGCCCAATCTCGAATAAGAAACAGCAGTTTCTGGAAATATGATATAAAACATTAAGTAATATTATAAAATATAATTTTGTTTTTAAATTTAAATACAAAAAAGAGTACACATGTACATTATTAACAAAGGAAATACTAAAAAATTAATTGACATGTTTCCGTAACTCTATTTGTTCCATAAAAACTTAATATAACACTGTGCTGAATTATATAGGAACATGATGTTATAAAATCGTATCAAACTTATTTCATCAACGGAAGTTCCTTGGTCACCTGATCAACCTAGCGGAATGCGTCTAATAATATTTAAAGGCACGCCTCGTGAATATGGCAAATGATATTAATTTATTGTATAATTATACACTTCATTTGGAATGCCATAGGATTATTTTAGTGTACTGGGAGGCCAAAAGGTGTGGTGGTAAAATTTACAGTAATTTTCTTCATCCTTACGATTTTTGTCGATCCAATCGGCAATATGATCTATTGCAAGGTTGGAGTTAAAAGTTTGTTGGAGGGCCAAAGTGAATTTTTGATTTAACACTGAGGACCGCACCCAAAATTTTGATGGTTCCAGTGTGATTCCAAAACCTTCATTCACTGCTTTTATACCACCTTCTTCTCATTTTTAATATTGCTTTTTACTGATGATCGGTTTTTGGCCGTAAAAACAAGGTATTTTCTAGCAAAAAGGGTTGGCAAACATAAGTTTTTAATTTGTTACCGCGGGTCGAAAAAAAAGTCATTATCGGGCCGCACTTTGTCCACTCGTGGGCTATTGGAGTAACCCGGAAATTTACAATTGAGTGACCAGCTGAATTGAAAAGTTCGGCTACTGGTTGATCATCAAGCTTAGATGTTTTGATAGCTGATCTATGTTGTGTCATTCTCATACAAAGAGTGTTCTTTTGTTTGTCCGACATTTTCACCACAAATACTACAATATATGAGATAAATTACATCTTTGGTGAGTCAATTCATTGATTGCCTTATCTCTAATATGTGGTTTGTTTGGTTGTTTTTGAATGATGGCGGAAAATGAAGCAAGGAGCATGTTTTGCATGATGAACCACTAAGATGCCCAACTTATGGCTGTTGCAAGAGTCAATTTGCCTCTTAAATCTAGCTCTTACTAATAGTATTACAAAGGTTAGGTGGTCTGCAATAGGTTATAATCGGAAAAACAGCCCGGATCCATGTTTCGTGGGGGGTGGGGGGAATCTAGAGAAAACATCACTCTAGAGGGTCCGGGGCATGTCCCAAAGAAGTGTTTGTTTTCAAAACGCCAGGAAATAACCTCTGAGGCGTTTTGCACGATTAATAATTATATATATATATATTAAAATTTGAAAGACTGACTGTTTTCTTACCTGGAAAGGCTTATTGTCATTCTTAACTGCAATTCCATACCCAACAAATAGTTGAAGAAATTGGAGGTCTGCTTCGTTAATATCGGATTTTATATTATATACCTGCAATGAAATCACCGGCAATTATGACACATTTTCAAAAAACTTTTAACGCGTCAACGTTTTTGATACCTCCCTCTTTATCGTTATCTAATTTGTCAAAAAAAACCATAAAAAACAAAAACAAAAAAATAAACAATTATAATAGCCTCTACAATTATTACGCTGTCTTTAGTCAAAATTATTTTTATCTATTTTTTAATTTTTAAAGCAATTCTATCTATCTGCAATACAGATTAACACAAATTTTTTACTATGAATTGCTTTATTTACTAGGCTCCGATACTCATCGGCATCAAAATATTTTATCTTAACATCTGTATTTTCCTTATAGAGCACTGTGTGCCATCTACTAATAGTTGAAATAAATAAGTGGAATAAGCTATTTAAAATATAATACCGTAAAACCTCGAATTGAAGCCCAGTGGGCTTAATCTCGAGATGAAGCCTTCCCTCTTTAACTTGCAAAATTAGCCTCGAAAAGAAGCCCCTCTGGAAAAGAGGCCCATGGGCTTCTTTTCAAGATAGATAGGCTTTTTTTTGGAGATAGTAAGTACATACACTGTACATTAATTTCAGGAAACAAAATAAGGTAAATAAAAGGTTGGTTTATAAAAGTAGTTTAGTTGATTTAATGCCAGTTCAATACACCCCATGATACAGATTGATGTTACAGTGGCCTTATTTATTGATTTATAATACAAATTCACAAAATTTACAGCATTAATTTTGAAAAGAAGCCCCCTCCTTACTTTGTAAAAGTAGTCTCGAAAAGTAGCCCATCTCGAAAAGAAGCCTATTTCAAAAAAGCCCATCAAATGCTGGCCAAAAAAACCCAAAAAACAAAAAAACAAAAACAAAAGCAAAAAAAAAAACCGAATAAGCCCAGTGCTTCAATGCTTTACCGTTTTAAGGTTTTACCGTAATATGTCGTTAATTAATGAATGGAGAAATTCTAGAAGATTGAAAGGTAGCGAGAACAAGATGACATAGAAATAGACCTATGACTGTTCTCAACAATTAAGAAATAAAAACCAAATCAGAGACTCAGAAGTGTTAAGATAATATGAAAACCATATATTTCTTAACCTAATTTGCATATTTTAGTTAATTGTGTGTGATATGTGGTCATATATGATAAGGGCATATCATATTAATCTCTGCTTTTTGATTAAACTATTAAACCTTTCTGAAAGTAGGCCTATTAGCAATTTAAAACACTTTTTGACTAGGTAAGGCACCTACAAAAAAAAAAAAAAAATCAAGGTTCTTGGCAATTAGCATTTGAATAATTGAGGGAAAAGACATATACGAAATTTATATAGGCTTCTACGGAAAAACCCCAAACCAGATATTGATAAACATATATACAAATAATATGTAACCGTACCTGTATGGAGCTCAATAATGTGCTAAGTGCAAACATTGAAGCATTTAGTCTCATTGGTGTGTATTTATCTTGTGTTCCTTGAGTATCCATCAAAACGACACCGAACTACAAAAGGTATAACACATAATAATGAATGTAACAGAAGAACAATATAGTGCAACCTTGAAGCGTATTTGTTGCTCAAGATGCAAAGCTGAAGTTTCAGAATTCAAACGGCTGAATTAGTATTCAGCTTTTAAAAAGCGTTTGTTTATTAATAACAATCGTAATTCTACCACAATCACCACCACCACTACTACTACTACTATCACTGATACTGCTACTAATGCTGCTGACAGGCGTTGGCTGGCATTGAAACCATCCATGCGGAAAGTATAAGCACCTGAGTACGACGCGATATGTCCTCTCCTAGAAACCAAAATAGGCTTAAAGATTCAAACCTAATATTATTTTAGCCATTCCAATTAAATGTAACAATAAACTCGAAAAATGAAATGAATGTAAGTATAGAAGAATTTGGCTAAAAATGCTAAATTAAATGGAGAAAAAGTACAATAAAAACAATTCCTTTGAATTTTTAGCGTGGGCATGCAGTTATTCTATTATCTATAGTGTAGTTCGTATAAGTCGATGAACACAACAAAACAACTATCACCAGCCATATTGGTTTCTACACTGTTTTCTTTATTTCCAAACCATCAACTTTGTAATATACCCTACATGCAATGCATAATTTGCAACCATTGACGGTCCACCACTGACTTTTCTAAAATGTTTACTGGCATGCATGTGTTTTGCCAATATGCATTTAATTCTAATTAAGCCATAGTGGAAATAATTGGTTACAGAATATTGCTTGTGTGATAAAAAATTGTAGTTTTTTATTTATTTTTTTATCATTTCAAGGTTTTATTTTTGTATATATTTAGTTTTTGCGCGATGAAATAGAGTGGTAAAAACCCACTCTGTCAAATGAATTCTGTTACCAATCCCCAAACCATCTGATTTTATTGTAAAGCATAAAACTGGTTTCTTTCTATGCAAAGACTGGATGTCGAGCTTTACCGGTGATCCCACAATCGCTGCTATTGATGTTAACGACTGAATTTTATGTGGAATTGAGGAAAACCATGTTTTCAAAACCTGGCAGAGTTTGAAAACCCCCAAGCTCGCAACCACGGCATCATCAATGACTCAAAAAAGTCTTATGTTGATAAGATCCATAATTTTCTGTAATTCCAACCTCAATATATTTTGCCTTTGGTAAAATCTAATTCTGCAAACTGTTGTCGTTCCACCTTTCCATCCTTTAGAATCCTGGTGGTTCCATATCTACTGGCCCTCTTTTAAAAGCAAACACATTCGGCAAGCAGCTCGCATTAAACCCAACTTAAGATGACGAAAGTAGGGTCCTTTGGAGTACCCTTATTCTATGAATATTATTAACTAATAAAATTCTTAACCCGTAAAGTTTGTAAATCACTTAAAAACTAAGAATTTTAATTGAACCGACAATGTTCCTGTCATTGTTTTTACTCAATGTGCCTCAGAACTTGCACCTGTTATTCTTTTTTCTTTAAAAAAAAAAATTATTATTAACGTCTTTAACCAGGATGACAAAATCATTTTAAGAAATGTTTTTCATTTTGGTCCTGAAAAACAAAAATTCTTGATAAACTAACTCTCCTATTCCACCGGTGCCTTCCGTTCTTCGTGGACATTTTCACGTGTCATCCCGATTCTCGAGAAGGGTGATACGTCTATACGAAACTTCCGCCCCATAGCCTTAACATCACAGATTTCCAAGGTCATGGAGTCCATCATCACCGGTCAAGTCTTGTCTCATCCGGATCTGAACTATCTTCTCTTTAACCATTATTATCTTCTTTCCACCATTAAAATGGATAGAACTGCACCTTGAAATAATTATCTGATTCCATCAGCTTGGAATAATATGTCTAAATAATATTAACTTAAACTGGAAGGCGCATATTGTAGATATTGCAAAAAGTGCCTCTCAGAAGATTGGTCTCTCCATTTCCCGCTCCAATATCTGGGGGTCTGTTCTAGACAAAGTGTAGTCCAAATCAATCAGGCTTATTTTGAATGAATCTCTCACTCTATTCAAACGCTTTCTTATCGCTGAAATCTGGCTGCTCTTTCCATGTTCTACCGTTACTCCTTTAAAAAATGCTCTGATGACCTAAAATCTATCATCTGTCATGTCTCTATTATTTCTTTCTGCTCTGTGACCCGGTCAATTTGCACAAACCGTAAGTACACAGTTGTTTTCTCTCTTTGTTTGCATTGCCTTCCACTTACGCTCCTTCATATTCCAAGCTTTGATTCTCTGAAATTTCTTTTCTTTATTTAAGCTCAAAAAGTTCAAAAATCTCATTAACAAGCTCCATCTAACGTACCTCTCTAGCCTAATTCTAATGGCTTCTTTGCAGGGCCTCTATCATAGGTTTCCCTTTATCATGTGTCTTCTAATTATAAAACTCACTTGTCTATCAGCTGGTCCAGTAATAAAAACTTTACTCCACATCCAGATGCCAGTGGTTACTCTATCAGAACCACCTTCCCAAACAAATCCATTTAGTGTACTTTCCTGGTCATCCATCCAGGTTGGCGAGCACTGTGAAATACATTTACGTCATAGAGAAATTTTATCAGAATGATACATAATGCAAACATTAATTTAATGTGTTCCTTAAAATTGAAATAAAGAAGCTCTATTAAAGTATAGCTAGCTTGAGTTTGGCATTTAATGGGCCGATGACAGTAATGCACATTTCTGCCTTTTAAGCTGAAAAAGTAGATTAGTTGCGAGTAAATCTTATTTTGTATCCTGTACACATTGATTATACAGTGATACATTTGATTGTCACATATATTTCTTCTCTTTATTTATTTCTTCATCGAGTGGATGACTTAAACCGTATGGACTCTATACTTACATTGTGGGAGAAGTATTTGATAAACAAGTTGAGTAAAAATGACTTTCCAGCACGAGCCACCCCAGCAACTGACAAAACCACCACTGGAATATCTTTCAACCTTGGTTGCATCAAGATACTTTCTAGTCTGTCTTCATACAGTTCAAGTTGCTTATTTTTAACCTCCACTATTTGTACTGGATGCCCATCCACACAGCCTGTAAGCATAACAGTACATGATGATGTTATGAGCAGTGATGGCGCCAGGACTTCTCCGAGACGGAGTGGAGGTCAGCTTTCCCCGATCGGGGGTAAATGGCCTAATTGATTATACCTGAATTTTAGTAATTTTACATTTTATTTAACATTCTAATATTATATAAATTATTAACGTGTACGTATTTCACTTAGCATTTTAATGAGATTAACTCATAAATCGCAGCGTAATTTTGCTATGGGCGTGGTGTGTGACTACTCAAAAGAGGCGCTTATAGTAGCTACATGTTCACATCATTCCACAACGACAGGGGTTGAAATGAAGCACAGCATCGGATTAACCCGCTAATCTTCCGAAAGATCAAAGGGATCTTTAAAGTGCAGACGGCGAGCCAGTTGTGTACACTGGAAGTCCTTATCCGAGTAGACCTGGTTCTTCCAACCGAAATCTAGGAGAGGAGCGGTTTCAACCAGCACCCATGTTAATAATGATGTAGTTTGGTACCCTTGATACCGCTCGGCCTCTCGACTTGCCAAGGTCACGAAGAATGCGAGGAGGTGAAGAGGTGGACTAAAAACCTTCTAAATTGATTTATTTATTTTCATTTATTTATTTATTTTTTTGTTTGTTTATTTGATTTATTTGTTTGTTTGTTTGTTCAGGTTTAAAACATCAAAACATCAAATTTTGGCCAACTTATGAAAATTGAAGTTGAAATATACTATACTTTTATAGGTCATGTAAATGTTCCATTAAATTCGAAACTTTTCTTGGTGGAAAATATTAATATGTTTGATATTTTATAAGAGATAAATGTATCAGCTTCAAAATAGAAAAGATTGCGCAGCCATAGTGATTGACAGTATGTAGTGAGCATTGAGAAAAGAAGGTGCTCTCCATTTCTTCATGTTAAATTTTTTGGTCAACTATGCCTGCTGAAAATTTGATGGCGGGGAACACTGGGACTTCTAAGGCATCGCGCAAACGTTCTTTACGCGCTGCGGCAACTTTGATCTTAGTTCATTTGCATAGCGCTGCGTGCGCGTAGCTTTGCCGAGTGATCTCCTTCTCAATAATACCTGCATGATAATATATACTGCAATTATCGAAATGCACGCCATCGTGTCTGGATTCAGTATTTCGACATTAATTATGTCATCATCAGGAATTCCTGATGATGACACAATTAATGTCGAAATATTGAATCCCGACACAATGGCGTGCATTTCGATAATTGGAGTATGTATTACACTATCTTACCATATACGTTTAATAATCTTTATATGGAGACAATAAATTGAATAATTGATAAATATTGGAGTGCAAATCGAATCAACAACTGCATGTATTACAAAGGAACTTACTGCGTGGAACCCTTTTCTTTTTCTTGAAAAACAACGCCATATTCTGAAAAACAAAATAAAATTCAACTTGAATCTTTCTCTCTTTGTATTAAAAATATAAAAAATAAGATGTCTTTCTAGAAGTAAAAATATCATTAACACGAATGCCACACTTCATCCGAAGACCATACTATTGGATTGGATTTATTTGGTGTAAACACCAAAGATAGCCCACGAAAGTCTAGAAGAAGACTTATTTCCAGTGAGGTACTTCTGGTGGTGATTGGACAGTATACCGGGAGACAATCCCCTACTCTTTTCCGAAGAGTGTACTGCGTTCTTTAACGTGCACATGAGAATTTGAGGTCTTATTTAATCAATTTCTGAAGACGCATTTATACGGTTTTCAGTGGCAGATACAGGGATTTGAAGAATAGGCCAGGGAGTGACTTTCACAGATGCAGGAGATGCCAGGGGAGAAAATCTATGATTTTGGCACCTCCTAATGGCCGGAAATTGAAATCTCATACAATTTGAATATCATTTTCTTTTATTCCCATTTTTTAAAAATAAAAATAAATTAGGACTGGGCCCTCTTGAATTCGGTACTGTCAGTTGCGGATCTAGCAATTCCCAATAGAGGGACAAGGGACAGACTTTCACATAACACCTCACGGTGGTTGGGGCTGAGGTAAGAATTTTTGTTTTTAATTTTGAAAAAAAAAAAGGAATGGGGGTGGAGGGGAACTACCACTGGGACTAGTGCAGCACAGTCTAGAAGCACAGATACATTAGAGAAATGTCATCATCACATTCCGTTATCACTGCTGCTGCTGTGGATGGACGTTGGTTAGATGATCCAGAGCCAGAGCTTCATTGACAATCGCACAATATTATCTATTAACAACCTATAATATTTTTGTATTGTTTTTGACGTTTCTTTGTGTAGAAACATACTGCTTACTATATATTG